CCAGTCCTTCCAGTCCTCTCAGTCCCTCCCAGTCCATCCCAGTACCCCAAATCCTTCCAGTTCCACCAGTCCTCCCAGTCCTTCCAGTGACCCCCGGTCTTCCAGCCCCCCTCAAGTCCCCCCAGTCCTTCCCAGTCCACCCAGTCCTCTAAGCTGTCTTTTCCCAGTCCCCTCGGTCCATCCCAGTCCATCCCAGTTCCCCCAGTACTTCCCAGTCCCTCCCAGTCCTTCCAGTCCTCCCACTCACCCCAGTCCTCCTAATCCCCAGTCTCTCCCACTCCCCCCAGTTCACCCAGCGCCCCCAGTCCCTCCCAGTCCCCCCCAGTCCTCCCAGTCTTCCCAACCTGCCCAGTTCTCCCAGCCAACCCCCCCCAGTCCCTCCCAATCCCTCCCAGTCCCTCCCAGTCCCTCCAGTCCTCCCAGTCCCCCCAGCCCCTCCACTCCAGCCCTCCCCCAATCCCTCCCAGTTCTCCCAGTCCCCCCCAGTCCCTCCCAGTCCCCTGCCCGTGCCCCGCCGCCCCCCGCCCCGCGCAGCTGCTGCCCGTGGGCGGCAGGAATGTGACAGCCGGGGGTACACGGGGACACGGGGGGGGACAACACGCGTGTCACACACAGGGCACGCGTGGGGGCCCGGGGGGGCTCGGGGGGGCCCCAGGTGCTGCTGGTTTTGGAGGGGGGTCGTCATAACCCCTGCCCCCCCACCCCCCCCACGCGCGACGGGGGAGGGGGCGGGGTCAGGGGGTGGGCGGGGTCTTGGTGGCGCTCAGCCCCCGTTCGGTTCGGTTCGTCTCCGTCCGAGTCGGCTCGGCCCCAATCGGCTCCGTTCGGCTTCGCTCAGCCTCGGCTCGGCTTCAATCGGCTTAAATCGGCTTCAGTCGGCTCCTTTCGGATCCGTTCGGTTGCGCTCGGCTTCGCTTCGCTCTGCTCGGCTTCAATCGGCTTCAGTCGGCTCCTTTCGGATCCGTTCGGCCCCGCTCTGCCTCGGCTCGGTCCGGCTCGGCTTCGCTCGGCTCCTTTCGGTCCCGCTCGGCTCCTTTCGTTTTCGCTCGGCTCCTTTCGGCCCCGCTCGGTTCCGCATCCCCGAGCACCGCCCCCCCAAGCTGGGGGGGATTCCTTGGGGACATTGGTGGGAGGGTGGGGACAATGAGGGGGGGGGCTCCGTGTCCTCGCCCACCTCAGTGACCCCGTGCTGTCACGGGGGTCTCCATGCCCCTCGCCCGCCCTGGGGGTCCCCATGTCCTTGGAGAGACCCCTGTCCGCCCTGGGGGTCCCCATGTCCTTGGAGACCCCCCCGCACACCGCGAGGGTCCCAGATCCTTGAAGGGGTGGCACTGACCCCTGCCTGCCACCCCTGTAAGAACTGGGGTGAGGGCTCTCTGCCCACCCCTATTTCACCCCAAATTCCTCACTGGACCCCCTGGGTTGTCCCCCCAAGGCCCCAAAACCAGGGACACCCCAAATCCATCTCGCGCACCCCAAAAACAGCATCACCATCATAACGGGGGATTTTTTTTTTATTCAACACAACCACATTTTGGTGCCTGCTGGGGCTGGCTGAGGTCCTGCTGCTCTCTCCAGGAATTTTGGGGTCCCCATCGCCCCACAAACCCAGGGACACCCCAAAACCGCCACTCACACCCCAAAACCACCACCACCATCATAACTGGGGGGATATTTATTAAATAGGTTCATGTTTTGGAACCATCACTGCCACTCGGGGCTGGCCAAGGTCCCGTTGCTCTCCTGAGAGGTTTTGGGGTCCCCCTCGCCCCCACAGACCCAGGGACACCCCGAACCCACCACCACCATTAGAACGGGGCGGGGAGGGATTTTTATTACATATACCCAGATTTTGGTGGCATCACCACAACTCGGGGATGGCCAAGGTCCCGTTGCTCTCCTGAGAGATTTTGAGGTCCCCTTTTCCCCCCGAGTCCAAGGGACACCCCAAAAAACCCAGGGGACACCCCCAAACCCACCACCACCACCATAACGGGCGGAGGGGAGCCGAATTTCTATTCCACACACCCAGATTTTGGTGGCATCACCGCGACTCGGGGCTGGCCAAGGTCCCGTTGCTTTCGCGGGGGGACATTTCGGGGTCCCCCTCTTCCCCCGCCGCCGCCGCCTCGTCCAGGCGGCTGGGGATGGACCAGTAGAGGTGGGCATCGCGGCGGGCGGCGGCGGCGGCGAGCTGGCGGGCGCTGCAGGCCGGGGTGGGCACGGGCACGGTGTGGTGGAAGCCACCGTAGTCCACCTCGTAGAAGCCCTCCTCGAGGCTGAGCAGCGGCGTGAAGCGGTGACCCCACAACACCTCGTCCGCCAGGTACGAGCTGCGAGCCTGGCACGTCATCCCTGGGGGGGCGCGGGGGGTCAGGGGTGTCCCCAGATGGGAGGGGTGAGGGGCACCCCAATACCCGAATCACCGACACCCGAAGAATCCAGGACATAGAGCACCCCAAATCTGGTAGGAGGGGTCCGTGAAACCCTCAGGGCTTGGGGTACCCCAATACCTGAAGCCCCCCCAACCCCTTGGGGGTGCACCTTGTCCCCAGGTACGAGCGGCACACCTGGCACGTCATCCCTGAGGGGGCGCAGGGACCAGGGCAAGAGGGACACCCCAAAAAGTGAAGCACCCAGAGAGAGGACACCCCAAAAAGTGAAGCACCCAGAGCATGGAGGACCCCAAATCTGGTAACTGGGAGTCTGAGCTGCACCTTGGGCATATGGGACACCCCAAAACCTGAAGCCCCCAGGGCACGGAGCAACCCGAGCTCTCCTGCAGGGTCTGGGCTGGGTATGGGGGGACCCCACATCTGGCAGAGGGGGCTGTGAAGCTCCCAGCAGAGTTGTCCCCATGGAGGTGAGGTGTCCCCACTCAGGTGTCCCCATGGAGGTGAGGTGTCCCCACTCAGGTGTCCCCATGGAGGTGGTGTCCCCATGGAGATGAGACGTCCCCAAAGGATGAGATGTCCCCATGGAGGTGAGGCGTCTCCATGGAGATAAGATGTCCCCACAGAGATGAAGTGTCCCCATGGAGATGAGATATCCCCATGGAGATGAAGTGTCCCCATGGGGGTGAGGTGTCCCCATGGAGGTGAGGTGTCCCCAAGAAGATGTGTCCCCATGGGTGCGTCCCCATGGAGATAAGACATCCCCACAGAGATGAACTGTCCCCATGGACATTATCTGTCCCCATGTTGGTGTCCCCACTGATGTGATGTGTCCCCATGGAGGTGTCCCCAAGGAGACAATGTGTCCCTATGGAGATGATGGGTCCCAAGAAGATGATGTCCCCATGGAGATGAGGTGTCCCCATGGAGGTGTCCCCATGGATGTGTCCTACAGAGATGAAGTGTCCCCATGGAGATGATATGTCCCCATGGAGGTGTCCCCAAGGAGACAATGTGTCCCCATGGAGATGATGTGTCCCCATGGAGGTGTCCCCACGAAGGTGATGAGTCCCAAGAAGATGACCTCCCCATGGAGACGAGATGTCTCTGTGAAGATGATGCATCCTCATGGAGGTGTCGCCATGGATGTGTCCCACAGTGATGATGTGTCCTCACAGATGTGTCCCCATGAAGATGATGTGTCCCAAGAACATAATGCATCCCCCTGAAGATGATGGGATGTCCCTCACAGCACCGAGACACCCCCGCCCCGTTTACCTGTGGCCTCCACCATGCCCTCGAGGATGACGACGATCTCGAAGTCATCCCTCTCCAGCTGCCCCCGCGACACGTCCCAGAAGGGGCTGCGCTCATCGATCTCATGGCTGATGATGAGCGGCGACACCAGGAAGAGCCGATCGTCGCCCGTCTCAAAGCCCACGCTCAGGTCAGTCTGGTCCAGCGGGATGAACTCGCCCTCCTGCGTCTGCTTGGACTGGATGAGCTTGGCGCGGATGGAGGCCTCCACGATGTGCGAGTCGCGCAGGTCGCCCACGCGGAACATCAGGCAGAGGCGGTCGTCGCGCAGCGAGACCACGGCGTGCGAGGAGAACACCAAGGTCTCGGCGCGCTTGTTGGGCTGCGAGATCTTGACGAACATGCAGCCCACCATGAAGGCGTTGACCATGGAGCCCAGGATGGCCTGCAGCAGCAGCAGCACGATGCCCTCGGGACACGTGTCCGTGATGACGCGGTGGCCGTAGCCGATGGTGGTCTCGGTCTCGATGGAGAAGAGAAAGGCGGACACGAAGCCGTTGAGGTTGTTGACGCACGGCGTCCAGCTGTGGTCGCCCAGGTGCTCCAGGTCGCCGCGGCTGTAGGCGATGACCCACCAGATGAGGCCAAAGAAGAGCCAGGTGAGGGCGTAGGCCAGGATGAAGATGAGGAGGCTGAAGCGCCACTTGAGGTCCACCAGGGTGGTGAAGATGTCGGTCAGGTAGCGGTAGGTCTCGCGCACGTTGCCGTGCTGGACGTTGCACTTCCCGTCCTTCTCCACGTAGCGCTGGCGCTTCCGGGCCACCGTACCTCCCCCGGCCCCCCACGGGCGGCGTTTGGGGGCTTGCAGGGGTGGGGGAGGGGGTTTGGCCTCGGCGGGGACCCCCGTGGGGACCCCCTCGGGAACCCCGCAGAAGGCGGCGTTGTCCTGAGCCATCGGTGGCGGCTGTGGGGGGACAGGGGTGAGGGGAGGTGAGGACTGGGGGGACTGGGATGGGGAAGGGGGGGGATGGAGGTGCCAAACTGGGGGGACTGGGAAGGAGGAATGGGGGGATGGAGGTGCCAAACTGGGGGGACTGGGAAAGGGGTGACAGTGACATTGCATCCCCAAACTGGTGGGACTGGGATGGTCATGGTCCCACCAAACTGGGGATACTGGGAAGAGAGGGAGGCCCAAACTGGAGGACCGAGAAGGGCGTGAGTCACCCCAAACTGGGTGGAGTGGGGTTCATCACCTCCCCAAACTGGGGGAACTGGGAAGGCTGTGGGTCACCCCAAACTGGGCCACGTGTGAACACACACACGTACACGTACACACACACACACACACACACACACACACACACGTACACGTACACGTACACACACACACGTGTGTGCACACACACATTGACACCCGCAAGTTCGACCCCTCCTGGGCCTCGCACACGCGCTGGGCTCCCCCTTGCACACTCATCCCCGCGCGTGCACACGAACACGAGCACAGACACGCGTGTGTGCGCACAGGGTCACGTGTGAACACAGGAAAACGCGTGCGTGCGGGGGTCAGACGTGAACACATTGCACACTCACACCCGACTGAACACACACGTGTGTGCAAGGGTCACGTGCACGTGATGCATTACACACTCACACACGCGTGTGCAGGGGTCACACACGTGAACACATTGCACATTCACACACGAATTAAAGTGAGCACACACACGTTGCACACTCAAACAAACAAACACACGCGTGTGCAGGGGTCACACATGTGAACACACGCGCGTTGCACACTCACGAACACACGCGTGTGCAGGGGTCAGACACGTGAGCACACGCGCGTTGCACACTCACACAAACACACGTGTGTGCAGGGGTCAGATGTGAACACGTTGCACACTCACACACTCACACACGCGTGTGCGCCCCACCGGCTCTCGCGCATGCGCTGGGCTCCCCCTTGCACACTCACCCCCGCGCGTGCACGCGAGCTGCACGCGCGGCCGGGTCACGAGCGCGCCCACGACCCCCCCGCCCCCCTCCCCCCGCACGTCCCTTACACACGCGTGTGCCCCGGGGGTTGTTTTTTGGGGGAGGGGGGGTCCCTGCGACACATCCCCCCCCCCTCCCGATCCCCCCCGCCTCCCCCTCCCCCACCCCCAATCCCGATGGCGGGGGAAGGAGAGGGGGGACACAGCCGGGTTTGGGGGCTCCCCGCGGGGTCAGCGCTGCCCCGGGGGGAGTTCCGGGGCTCCCCCCCCGCGCCCCCCGCCCGCTCTCACCGCTGCCGCAGCCCCGCTCGCTCCGCACGCTCCGGGCCCCCCCCGCCCCGTTCCCCGGCAACGGCGGCGCGCGGATAAAAATACCGGGAGCCCCCGCCCCCCCAAACCGCACGGACAACTGGCCCGGGGGTGGCCAGCGCTAGCCCAGCCCCCCCCTCGGGATCGGTTCCGTGCTCATCATCAGCACAATCCCCCCATAATTACACCCCCCCCCTCCATTTTAATGCATCTCATTAGTCCAGCCCCCCCTCCTCCCCCCGGCTTACGCCCCCTCATCACTAGCCCGGCTGTGGCCAGAGCTTGCCCAGCCCCCACCTACCCCTGCCCCAGGGCTCAGCTACACCCCCAGAATTATCACAGCCGCCCCCGGCTCAAGCCCCCACCCCATCATTAGCCCAGGGGTCTCCTTCATTAGCCTAGCCACCCCTGCACTAGCCCAGGGCTGACGTTCGCTAGCCCAGTTCCCCCGGCTCAGCCCCAATCCCTTCCCCCATAATTAGCCTGGGGGTGCCCGTCATTAGCCCAGCCCCCACCCCGGCTCAGCCCCGCCCTCCCCGCATCGTTAGCCCCGGGGTCTCCAGCACTAGCCCAGCCCCCCCTACACCGTTAGCCCGGGGGGACGCGTCATTAGCCCCCACTCGGGTCCCCCCATCAGTAGCCCACGCATCTCCATCATTAGCCCAGACCCCCCCTCTATCAGTAGCCGAGGGGTCCTCCTCAATTGCCCAGTTCTCCCCATTAGCTCATCCCCCCCACTAGCCCCGACCCCCATATCATTAGCCCAACCCGTCATCACTAGCCCAGGGCTCCCCATAGTTAGCCCAGCCCCCTTTACTAGCCCACCTCCCCCATCACTAGCCCAGAGCTCCCCCTCATGAGCCAAGGAGCTCCCCACCATTAGCCAAGCCCCTCAACTAGCCCAATGTCCCCACTAGCCAAGGGGTCCCCATTGCTAGCCCAACGCCCCCCACCGTTAGCCAACCCCCCCACCACTGGCCCAGGACTCATCACTAGCCCAGGGGTCCGGCTCAGTTGCCCAGCTCCACCCCCCACTAGCCCAGTGCCCCCCCCATAGGCCAGGCCCCGCCCCCCCCGGTAGCCCCGGCCCCGCGGTCACTCGCCCGCCCCTCCCCCCCGGGTGGACAAAGGCTCTTTGTGCCTCCGGACCGGCCGGGACACGGCCTGGCGTGGGGCTGCCACAGACACATGGACACACGGACACACGGACACATGGACACACGGACACACGGACACATGGACACACTGACCAACTGACCCACGGACACACTGACCAACTGACCCACGGACACACGGACACACTGACACACGGACACACGGACACACGGACACACGGACACACGGACACATGGACACACGGATACACGGACACACGAACACACAGACACACGGACACACGGACACACTGACCAACTGACCCACGGACACACGGACACACTGACCAGCCACCCACGGACACTGACCACGGACACCCTTACAGGTGCCGGTGCCCGAGGGACCCAGCCGAGACCCCCAGTGTCCCTGTTGGGTCCCCAAGTGACAGCGCCGGTGCCCGCACAACCCCACCGGGACTCTCCGGTGACCCTGTTGGGACCCCCAGGGCAAGTGCCAATGCCTGGACAACCCCACCGGGACCCCAAGTGCCGGTGCCGGTGCCCGGGGGACCCTTCCCGAACTCCCCGGTGCCCCTGCCGGGACTCCCAGCGCCGGTGGCAGTGCCCGGTGGACACCACCAGGACCCCGGGTGTCGGTGGCCATGTCTGGACATCCCCCAGGGTACCCCCCGGTGCCCCCACCGGGACCCCCAGCGCCCGTTTCGATGCCCGGACATCCCTTCATTCCCCCCCGGTTGCCCCGCCGGGACCCCCATTGGGTGCCGGTGCCGGCGGGCGGGGTCCCCCGGCCCCCCCCGCCCCGTGCCCGGTAACGTGACCCGGTGCCGGCCGGCTCCTTTTCCACCCCATTAACCCCCGGCCCGCCCCCGGCGGCTCCTCCCCGCCCCGGGCCCCCCCGGTTCCACGGCGGGGGGGGCGACCCGTCCCGCCGCCGCGGCCCCGCCGAGCCATAAAGCCCATGGGGAGCCGGCCGGGCTGAGCACGGCGGGACCAGCGACCCCCCCAGCAAGGTAAGGGCGGCCGGGGGGGGGGGTCCCTGGGGGTCTCCCGTTCCCTTCCGGGGGGTCCCGAGGGCTGCAGGCACCGGCCGGTGGTGCTGGGATGGCACCGGCACTGCAGAGGGGAGTCCCGTGCCCCCTTGTCCCCCCACCGGTGGCACCGCACCCCTGTTGTCCACATCTCTGTGTTGCCATCACCCCACAACCCTGTGACTCCGTGAGGCCACGTCCCTGTGTCACCATGTCCCTGTGGTCCATCCATCCCTGTGTCCCCAAATCCCCGTGTCCCCAAGTCCCTCACCCCCAAACCCTTACGTCCCACATTCCCATATCTCATTTCTCTCTATTCCCGTGTCCCCATGTCCCGATGTCCCCACGTCACGTACCACCTGTGTCCCATGTTCCCACATATCCCAGTGTCCCCATATCCCCGTGTCCCGTTTCCCTATCGCCATGTCCCCATGTCCCTGTGCCCCATAGCGATGTGTCCCTCTCCCATGTCCCCAACACCCTGTGCCCCATGTCCCCCATCCCCACATCTCCATGTCTCCATGTCCCATACCCTGAGGTCCTATGTCCCCAAGGACCCTGTCTCCATATCCCATGTCCCTGTGTCCTCCATCCCCATGTCCCTCATCCCTGTGTCCCCTGTGCCCCACATTCCCATCCCATGTCCCTCATCCCCATGTCCTCCATCCCCATGTCCCTCATCCTTGTGTCCCACATCCCCATCCCATGTCCCCATGTCACATATCCCCATGTCCTATGTCCCCAAGGCCCCTGTCCCTTTATCCCCATGTCCCCCCACTCTTTTATCCCCTGTCCTTGTCCCCACATCCCCTCTCCCCATGTCCCCGAATCCTTGTGTCCCCCCATCCCACTGTTCCCATTCCCTGTGGATCCTCCCCTCTCCCGGTGCAGGGACCTGGGGGGACAATGGATGGGGGGAGGGGGCACACAGCAACCCCCACCCCCCCCTTTGTTGTCCCCCAGGCCTGGCTGGGATGGCCCCTCCCCCAGCTGAACTGGGATATGGGTTATCCTGGAATTTGGGTTATCCCAGGTGTGGATTATCCTGGAGTTTGAGTTATCCCAGGTGTGGGTTATCCTGAGTATGGGTTATTCCAAGTGTTCCAGGTGTGGATTATCCTAGAATTTGGGTTATCCCAGGTGTGGGTTATCCTGAGTTTGGGTTATCCCATGTGCGGGTTATGAGTGTCCCAGGTGTGGGATATCCCAGGATGTGGGTTATTCCAAGTGAGGTTTATCCCGGAATGTGGCTCATCCCAGGTGTTTGGGTTATCCTGGAATTTGGGTTATCGCAGCTGTGGGTTACCCCAGGCATGAATTTTCCTGGGTGTGAGTTATCCCAAGTGTGGTTTATCCCAGCTGTGGGTTATCCCTGGCATGAGTTATCCCAGATGTGGGCTATCCTGGATGTAGGTTAACCCAGGTGTGGATTATCCTGGGATGTGGGTTATTCCAGGTGTGGATTATCCTGGGATGTGGGTTATTCCAGGTGTGGGTTATTCCAGGTGTTGG